CCTTATTTAACACACCTGATTCAGATCATCAGCTCATTAGGAGAGAGATCCATGTAGTGAACTGAGTGTGTCAGAGGCAGACTTACAAAACGTGCAGAGCAGGGAAGTCCCCAGGACCTGCCCTCAATGCCGAGAGCCTGGAAACATTGTTTTCAAACAATTATATTTATGCATTTGAGTATATATTTAGGCATTAATAATACTTTATGTAAGTGTTGACATTTAAATATTGATTTGAAATGTCAGTTTTTGCATTACTATTGCAGTCAAAGCTGGACACAGAAAAAGGTATTTTGTTACTCATATTAGACATACTTGATACATTCTAGATGTTCCAGGTACGAATCACACAGAGGGAAGCTCGCCTAAACAAATCTCACTCCTCAAGTTTATTTCTCATCAGTCCCTGCCTTTACCGAAACATCATATGACTCTTTCATATTATTTTAACTGATTGAGTGAGAAAATGAAATTTGTCATAATCTTTTTCCTCTTCTAAATCTTTTCTACAATTCATCTCCAATACACTCCATTCATCCTTTTGTACATAATTTCTATTCACACAAACTGCAAATAAAATGCCAAAAATGTTCATATCAATACTAAGCATCACTCTGGACCCCTTCATATCAAGGCTGCAAATTTGCAAATAAAAATTTTAAAACGTGACATATACAGTATATATACATTACGTGATTTTTCTCTGGACGGCAAAAAAAACAAAAAAAAAAAACAAACAAAAAAAAAAATATATATATATATATATGACTTTTTATCTTTATTTCTGGGTAATTTTACAATTTTAAGGAATAGTTCACTAGTTATTTTGCTGTCAAGTACTAGTATTTACATGTATTTTTTACTATGAATAGTGTGTTCAGTTTGTTTGGGATTCATTTAAATGAAGGCTGATGACTATTATAACTTTTGTTGGTTGGTTTCATGAAATTGGTTTTGTTTGTTGGTTTCATGAAATATAAAATGATTTTGCCCTGGATAAAAAAAATAATCAACACTGAACAAAACAGCAACACATTAAACATTTAGTGATAATTTAACATCTTTATTCAAGCTGCAGAACTGAAGCATGACACTTCATTCACAGTGGGACTTGTACTCGGTCTCTGACTGATCACCTGAGGGAAATGTTGATACAGAGAAATTAGCTTAATAGCAACTGATACTTTTGAATCATATAATAATAACAGAGAAAATGGCACATAAAATCTGACTTGTTTGGTAGTAATCATAGACTTTAATTACAGCTGGTTTGAGATTCTTCACTGGAAGAACCTGTTTCAGTTTTATCTGGAGATTCACTGGAATATTTTTTGGAACCTACAGGACGTTAAACAGGATCATGCAACTGAAGATTTTAGATAAAATGAGAATGAATCACTGTAACTTATATGAATGTTGCTTTTTTCTTACCTCTGTCAGATACACAATGACATGATCATCTTTAGAATCGACCCGCTCCACAAGTGATGTTCTTGAAAGGTGTTGAGGTTCAAGCTGTGTGGAAAAGTAAAAAAAAAAAAAAAGAAAAGTATTATTTGTCACATACCCAATAGGAGAACACTGAAAAGCTATTTTCTGTAAGTTATCATGCTGTTCAAGCAGAAGTGAGCCAGACAATATATTCCATCTTAGAGTCACAGGGAATCAGTACAGCGAATCTAATTAATCACTTGACAGTCAAACGCACCAATGATGTATCAGCTGTGAATCCTGATAAGAGTTTAAAGGGGTCATATGATGCTGCTAAAAAGAACAGTATTTGGTGTATTTGGTGTAATGAAATGTGTTTATGCTGTTTAAGGTTCAAAAAACACATTATTTTCCACATACTGTACATTATTGTTTCTCCTCTATGCCCCGCCTTTCTGAAACGCGTAGATTTTTACAAAGCTCATCGGTCTGAAAAAGCGAGGTCTGCTGTGATTAGCCAGCTATCCAGTGCGTTGTGATTGGCCGAATACGCCTTCTTTCTTTGCGTGAACATTTGGGCGGCGTTATGCAAATCTTCCCACATAGTGACGTAGACATGTGGGGGCGTGTTAGAACGAGCCGTTTTAGGTAGGTGTGGCTGACTCTGAACTTTTATAAAGAATATCTCTTTGGATTTGAGACTTTAGTCTTTGCAACTTTACAGATCTTCTTTATGCACCAAGAGCTTGTAACACTCCAAAGAGAAAGGAAAAATTGAAATCGCATCATATGACCCCTTTAATATCTACAATGACCATGTTAGATCTTGCCTGTGGACCATTATAACTGAAAAAGAGAAAATACGGACCATCAGAGTTAATATTGAATGAACTAAAGCCATAACCATAATCATGTTTTACAGCATAAAGTTACCTACTTCACAGTGAAATTTAACAAAAGGTTCTGTCCAAAGGTTTTCTTGCAGTCTCCCTCAATCTTAGCATCAATGCTCAATGTTTTAGCTTCAGTAGGAGTGGGAATGTTGTAGCACTGAGCCATCTGAGAGAGCCAACACAAACAAAAACACATTTATAATCCATCTCACAGCAAAATAACCACAAAATGCTAAGAGAGGAAAAACAGAAAGTGAGTGAGTCAATGAAGCTGAACGCACTACTTTGTGTCAGAATGGCGAACGAAAACTTCAGAAGCGTAAACGAAAACTTTAGAAGCGTAAATGAAAACTCTGGAAGCGCATTTGTAAGTACAGATCAGCTAATGCAAGAAGAGAAAACATTTGCAAAAAATGCAGTGTATTAAAAACGAAGTCAAAGATTTTGCCTGCATTTAAAGTCCCCCTGTAACTCTGCCCCTTTTGTTCTGACGCCTGATAGGACTGATGTTTGTGTTTGGACTCATTGCCTGCCTCTCCACTATTGTCTCTGCTTCCCTTGTGTGTGATGAACGATCTGCTTGCTTCTCTGACTTTGACCCTCTGCCTGATTATCAACATCTGTTTAAAGCCTTCACCTTTAATAAACTTCCGCTCATGGATTCTAACCAAACTCCAGCATCTCTGTTACAGACTTAAACTCTTTTGGGGTCAAAGTCACCGGAACCACTCATCATTTTAGTCATACACTAGATTTAACTAGCTTTAATTATATCGCATGGAATTGATCTTACTGATCTTACTTTGTACCTCAAAGTGATGTTGTTACTGACCACTACCTTGTATCGTGCATGCTGCATATTACTAATATTAACTATATCGCTCTGCATTATCGTCTAGGTAGAACTATTGTTCCAACCACTAAAGATAGATTCACAAATAACCAGCCTGATTTGTCTCAAATGCTCAGTGTACCATAACTGCACACCATAAACTCGATGAAATGACTACCAATATGGGCACTATCTTATCTAATTCATTAAAACACTAAATACGGTTTATTGATGTTTTAATGTATTCATTTATCAGTTGCCCCTGTCAAATTAAAAAAGGTAAGAGAGAAACGTACTGCACCATGGTACAAAAGTAATACCCATTCTTTCAATAAAGAAACTCATAATCTTGAGTGCAAATGGAGAAAAACTCTAGAATTGCTAGGTTTTTCTAGAATTGCGTGGAAAAACAGTATGTCCAGCTATAGACAGGCTCTAAAAGCTGCTAGGGCAGAGCATATCTGCAAACTCATAGAAAATAACCAAAACAATCCAAGGTTTTTATTTAGCACAGTGGCTAGATTAACAAATAATCAGACGTCATCTGAACTAAATACTCCCTCACAGTTTAGTAGTAATGACTTTATGAATTTCTTCACTGATAAAATAGAAAGCATCAGAAATACAATAACAAATGTAGAATCTACAACATTTTGTAATTCAGCTTCAATCATTGCCCCCAAAGAAAAATTGGAGTTCTTTACAACCACAGGACAGGAAGAGCTAAATAAACTTATCACTGCATCTAAACCAACAACATGTTTATTAGATCCTGTACCCACTAAATTACTGAAAGAGTTGTTACCTGTAGCAGAAGAACCACTTTTCCATATTATTAACTCGTCGTTATCTATAGGTCACATCCCAATACCCTTCAAGCTTGTGGTTATTAAGCCTCTCATTAAGAAACCACAACTAGATCCTAGTGAACTGGCAAATTACAGACCCATTTCAAACCTTCCATTTATGTCTAAAAATTTTGAGAAAGTTGTGTCTGCTCAATTGTGCTCCTTCATGCAAAAAAGTATATATATATATGAAGAATTTCAGTCAGATTTCAGGCCCCATCATAGCACAGAAACTGCACTTGTTAAAATTACAAATGACTTGCTTCTTGCATCAGACCAAGGCTGCATCTCATTACTAGTTTTACTTGATCTTAGTGCTGTGTTTGACACTTTAGATCAAGACATACTCATAGATCGATTACAAAGCTATATGGGTATTCAAGGACAGGCTTTAAGATGGTTTAGATCCTACCTGTCCAACTGTTACCACTTTGTTTATTTAAACGGGGAATCATCTCAATTAATGCCAGTAAAGTATGGAGTGCCACAAGGATCTGTCTTAGGCCCTCTGCTATTTTCAATATATATGTTGCTCCTTGGTAATATTATTAGAAAATATGGGATTAGTTTCAATTGTTGTATTGGACCAAAAAAACAGTACACAGATTATCTTAGATTACAATTGGCATCTAGACGGATGTACTGTTACTTCCTCTACAGTCAAAAACTTGGGTGTAATATTATACAGCAACTTGTCTTATGAAAATCAGATTTCATATTTTACAAAAACAGCATTCTTCCATCTTAGAAACATCTTATAAGGCCCTAAATAGATTAGCTCCTGTGTACTTAACCAGTCTTCTATCACGCTACAATCCAACACGCTCCTTAAGGTCACAAAACTCTGGACTTTTGGTAGTACCGAGGATAGCAAAGTCCACTAAAGGAGGTAGCCTTAGGAATTAAACAAGCTTCAGTCTGGATCCAGCCTCTTATGAAGATCTGAGATGACCCAACACCTGAGAAGCATGACGCCTACCCCTCCGAGGAGCTCAGATGACGACAACCCTGAACCAACATACAAAACTTTAATTTTCTGTGAAGCTGCTTTGCAACAATGTGTATCATGAAAAGCACTATACAGATAGTAACGTGAATAATATCAACATATCTTAGCACTAAGGCTTGGTTTCGGACACTCCTATAGGACCAGTTTTATCCTCAGGACAATATATTTACTCATATTCAGGATATTTATTATTTTATTTATTTGGAAGTACAGTACTTTACAGTAAATGTCAATATTCATGATGTTTATACTGTATATTCAGTCACCGTTATGATACTGTTCTTAAGTGTTTTTTTTTATTTGTAACTATTTTAGTCTGCTTAAGTTTTTTTTCCTTCTTTTTCTTCATTCTATTTTGTGTTTTTGTACTGTCTTATCCATGCTGCTGTAATGTCTAAACTTCCCTTTGGAGATAAAATAAAGTCTTATCTTATCCTATCTTATCTCGTAATGTGTCACTTACGAACTCTGTTGGGTATCCTTGAATAAGTGGTCCTTACAGCATTTACATACCCCACTTCAGTGAGCTGCCAGAGCCATGTTTCTGGGAAAAAGGTACGAACTGTCTCCACAGGTGGTTGAGCAGATCCTGTTTTTGAATATTCATCGGGCATCCTCTCTGAAAGTTCAAATAAATGACTAATGCGCATGTGCAAAGAACCAGTGTTCTCAGCAGGTATAAACTGATTCTTAGTGAATTCCCCCATCAGTCTATTTATGCATCTACTCATCTAAAAACTCTTTTTGTTAGCTTATGCATCTGAATCCATTTTAGACATCAACTGTTAACACTAAGAAACTGTTATTTCATCAACAGCAGTACAAATTGATATTCCAGTCACATGATTTCAGGTTCCCTTAAACATTTTCTGCAATTAGGCCTACATGTAACAACAAAACATTCATTAAATTACAAATATGTAAATATGTAAACCAAGTAAACATACCTAATTGAAAACTTTTGTGATAAGTTATGCCATAGTATGTCAGACAATGGGGTTGTCTCACAGGCAAATTTGTTGCCATCTTCAATCCCACATTTTGTCAAACAGCAATTAGAAACTACATGAAATGTAATATGAGGCTTGAATGTTAAAAACAAAGTAAATTAAAATCTATATTCCTTGGGTTTGGTGTAATACAAAAATATTATTTTTTTATCTTCATTTTCTTTATGTCCTACTTTCTCCTCTTTATAAGTAACTTTAACAATTTTATGAGCAGTTTGTTACCCTCAAGCTGTTATAAACACGGTCTGGTGACACAGCCCGACGAGGTCTAACTTCAGGCACTCTGGTGCATCCACAGCATTATAAGGGTAACCTGATACTACCTGTACTGACAGCAGGTTAAAGACCTGTGATGAGATTAAAAAACATTTACCAATGATTAAATACACAATTCTAAAGACTTGTCATTGGAAATATCAATATTTTGTATTGTAGAAGGCTTTTTAAAGTTAGATTTCTCATTTTAACCATGTAAGCTACACAATTAAACCTTGTCAGTATCCAGACGTTGTCCTGACTCCATGATCAGGACGCTCTGATCTACAGCACTGAGGCCGCACAGTGAAACCAGGCTGAGCTGAGAGCTGGAGAGTGTTTTTCTCACCAGGAACTGCTTTAACAGGAGAAAACTGCAGGAAAACCTGTAATGAAAACAGTAGGATGTGTCATTTTAGTGCTGCTATGAATGGAATCATTCTGTGGTGTTAAAATTAGGTTTAAAGACAGCAATATCTAAATTATTCCAGAACTGTTTGCATACCTTGATTTTGTAACACTTCTCAGTCATGAAATCTCTGCTACGAGCAACAACATTTTCACTGGGCAGAACACAGTAGACCAGAATCTGCACTGCAGGAGCCAGATCTGCACCAACAGACAGTTTGAACGACACTGTGTCACTTGCTGCTCCATTAGAAGACTTCACTTCAACCTTCTCAGATCCATGATGAACAATCACTCCTCTGGACAAGACCTGAAACAGACAGATGACACTCCAATAACAAACTGAGGATCCCAGAGGATGACTGTAATACTGTACATAGCCAATGAACATGCAGCAATTGTACTCACTATATAGACAATATCAGTTTTTAATTCTTCAACAGTCTCTCCAACAAAATAATACTTGATGGCCACTGTAAACTCAGCATCACACTTTAATGGTTGCTCAATATTCTCTATAATCAGTTCACTTAATGTTGGGGATTTTTTTTTTTGTAATCCAAACGAGTTCTGCTTGGATCTGTCACCTGTTCCTTCTTCTGTTACATTCACTTTTACAATAACGTGTTCTTTTAGGAATCTCTCATTTATAGAGTTAAAAAAGACTGATGTGTCCAAAGTAAAGGAGGCACAGCCCATCTCACTCATCTGCTGGTAGAGTACAAACACATCCATTAAAATCATCCATTACAAAGACCATATGATGAAAATGTTTTCATAAATTCAACACAACATACAATAATACAGTCTCACACCTCAGTATTTTCAAACAAACATGGTGAAATCAAGTCTGTTTGAGAAATATATCTCAAATGTTCCCGGCATACTTCCACCCTTGCTTTACCAGCCACTGGTTGTCCAAATGTGTATCTATGAATTTCATGCTTTGAGTTAAACTTTTGAAATACTGATTTAGGACATTATAATAAAAAATAAAATGTTTTATTATTATTGCATTTTAGTATTTTAATGCAATAAAACAGAAAAAACCTTCACTTACTACCCACAAACCTTCATATTCATGTCGCTATCACCAAAACTTAATTCTTTTGGAGCTTTCATGGTAATTTCAAACTTGGGTAAAACTGGAAATCAAGTACAGGGAATCAGTTAAAATGGGTTATGAATGAGGTTTCATAATCACTCTCAGAAACGTTCTGTGACATTGTCACTTATCATACTTCTTCACCTCAAAATAATGTGTGATCACCCGTTCACCAATAAAAACCCTCAGTTTCTAAATGCCTTGACGGGCCTCTGGGTTAAGCTCATGAGAAAGCTGCAATATCCACCTTGTTGAGGAAATATTTGTCCACTGACCAATCCTGTTATTCTGACTGTCCTGTTTGATCCCAAAGAACACACAGCGCAGATATAGTTTAGCTTTAGTCATCTACATAGATCTTGACTATTATTTAGCAATCTAATCACTGAATATTCAATAACTGCTGGTACAACAGACATTTGAAATGCAAATTAGATCAAAATTTTGTTGTGCATGCCATGAATGGCTGCATTAGACGGGTATCATGTGCTTACCTCCAGCACGACTGTACTGTACTAAAAACATACAAACAAATAAAAATTCATTCAAATTAAAAAAAAAAAAATACATTGTGCAAATAATATATTTATTGTTGGGTGCATTAGGGGTATGGTGCACAGAAAATAATTGTTTTTAAAAATGTTGATTTTGCTTAAATGGTACGAACCTTCTGATCAAAGGGTACAAAATTTCTATCCATGGTGACAACTCTGAAATTCACTGTGAAATGAGTGATATGGTATAACATGAGATTGCAAACTTTACACTTGTCATTTCTGAGATGCAGTGCAACATTAGAGGCTCTGAAAAATATGTGAAGAAACTGTGATTTGAATTTAATTAAAAAAATAATCATTTCCTTAATGTTGATTACAGAAACACGGACTAAATGAAAGCTACTTACTACATAATTAAATACCAGATAATAGAAAGCGACGTCATTTCCAAAATAACTTGTATGTAGTACAAGTAAATATCTGAGCAGACCACACATTTTAAAGTAATACTTCAGAAATGTTATTATAAATTTAATGTTTATAATTATATTTTTATAGTGTTACAGTTACATATAGATGAATGTGTAAGTAACAGTTTTGACCTATAGTAGTAGTTCAGGGGTAAATTTAAAAAACAGTTAATATGATATATTTGCAAATAAAACCAAGCAGCATGAAATAACCCAGTGGTTTGGGGTGTGGCTACTGTGGACTATGTCTGTTGTGCCCCACAGTGCTAATGCTCTTTCACTAATGACATCCCGTAAAAACACTATGACATCAACAGTGTGAAACAAATTAAACAACCTTAGTATTCATTGAACTTTAAATCTCAAAAATTCAGTCTGGATGAAAGTCAAAAGGTTGTAACATCTGAACATGACTTTTTTCTTTTCAGTCATCTTGAAGTTCTTCCCCTGAAGTTCTACCTTCATTGTCTGCACTGATTCTTCTTCGACCAGAGGTGTCTGTTGGGAGACATGTTATTTAACATATCTTAACTAAAATGTTCAATGACATGTGAATGCACTTTTCTTGCTGGCAAATCTGAAAGTTAAAGCAGCGGTGAAACTCTTCCTCAGCTTTCTCCTGCAGCAGTAAAGTGCTCTGGTCACCATGAACCAAATAAATGTTCATGGCAAGGCTTTCATTGGGCTTGAGAAAACTTGCACACAGTTTGGCCTCAGATCCCGACTCGATCACTGCAGGAAACGTCACCATGAAAGACCTGAGAGCTATCAAAGCATAAAGAGATATGCTTGCCCAAGTTTCAGACATAATCAAAGACAAAAATGTCTAATACAGTTCTGCCACTTTTATATTTCAATACATATTACAGAACTAGCTGCACTTCAGTTTAAGCAGGTCCCATCTGTGCTGATAAAGTATTTTTATTTTTTAATTAATTAAAATATTGCATGGTATAATGGAGCACACTTCCAGCATTTTAAGAAAATGTCACACACACACACAAAAAGATTGATTTAGTATAACTAAATATTTAGATTTAGATATTACAAAGATATTATTAGACAGTTACCATTCAAAATTACTTACAGCCCTGAGGCTTGTCCATGGACAGAAAGGAAAAGAAAAGAAACCAAAAGGAGCCCTTTCCAAATACACAGCGCATTGAAAACCATGATGAAGGCTAATCGTGCAGAACACACTATGAACAAAACTTTGACTGTGACTTTATAGGCACTCATCCCAAACAAGCTATTGAGAAATTATTTGCATTCATCATCAGATCAATGATTAATTTCTGGAGTTCCCACTATTTTGTTAATCCTAGTACTATAATATCAGATCATTACTAGACATGTCTTCCCAATTAGTGCTTTGGGCCACTGTGCTACGGTGGCCGAGAAGTGCAAAGCAAATCACAATTCTGAAAACAAAATAACAAATTACAAACGCAAATGCAAGTCTAAAAAACACAACAACAATTCAGAAAACATTATAACAAGTCAGAAAACACAATGACAAATTCGAAAACAAAATAACAAGTCAGAAAACACAACGACAAATCAGACAAACCTGAAGAGGTAGGTATAGTTTGAGACAGCACCATTGGTTTGGGATTACTCACCGCTGACTGGACGAGACATCTGTCAATCAACGTATACAGGAAGAACCAGCCGAAGAACAGCAGAGTCGTGGTAGAAAGTTCGGAGATGGTATTAAAGTAGCTCAGTTTAAATGTATTGTATGAATTGCCCTTACTCTGGAATTAAAAATACGAAGTGTATATTTAAATATAGTTAAAAGTGGCCATAAAACATCAGCTCAAGTGGCGCAGATGGATAAGTGTGTGTCATTGGCTTTTTGACGCGATTGACCCGGGTTCGATCCCGCCTTTTGCCGAACTTTTTTTCCCCCTCCCTTTTCAAATCTCGTATCACATCGTAAAGGAATTTATTTTCAATAAAAATTAAGGAAATAATCAAAAAGTTGAAAATAAAGTATCAGTTAGGGTAGGTGTAGGGAGGGCTTTATTGTACCAATAAGGTGGCATCCATTTAATAATTAAAATTAAAATTATAATTTACACTCAATACGTTATTATTGCATACTGATTTATAATGTACTACAATACTGAAGTGCAGATAATTGCCACTATTTGCAACAAGTAGTATAC